GCAGAGCGACGAAACCGAGGACGAATGCCAGCTAACTACATAGCTAAACTGGCCAACTGAGATTCCTCCCGTTATCGATGTTGCTCGTTTTTGCTTTTGGATAGCTGCACCATCTTTCTGCCACCTGGCTTGCGCACACCCCCCCCTTTCCCCCCTCGCATCGTCACCAGGCCCATGCAACACAGCTGAGGCGAGGCTAACAAAGGTGGGCGCCATCAAACATGCATCGAACCGGCGCGTGTAGCCCAATCTAAACGAAGCCGTACATATGGACTTGGGTGGGCAGCCGAGATGCAAGAAGGCAAGTTTAGAGTGCAGGCGAGCCGCCCGAAACTCTAGAGTGCAGGTCGCAGGTGACTCGTTTCCTGCCTTGTAGGTGCGTTCATACCCTCCCTGTTCCCTTGCCAAACGAACTTCCTAAAACGGAAAAACAACCGGCCATGGGGTATGTGGCTAGCTTAACTAGTATTCATAAAAAAAAGAAGAAAAAAAAAGAAGTAGAGAACAATAAGAGCGTCTGTATGATCATGGATGGAGTAAGAGGAGACCAGGGACAAACTTTGGAGAGGGAACCCGACATTTCGGTAGTGCCCCGACGCCTTGCTCAAAAGAGGAAGTAGAGGGGAGAAGAAGAAGGAGCGTGACGAAGGGTTCGAGCTCCAAAAGACTTGACTGACATGGGAAAGTACCAAGAAAAGAAAGAAGCCCACAGCGCATTCTATTCTTCTTTCGTAGCCCCAGCTGAATAGCCCCGTTACAAAAAGCCCACGATGAGGCGTATATTGGCTCCATTCCCGCTGACGCCTGCGCCTCCAACTTTTTAATCTTGAATGAATTCTTTCCCAAACTTTGTGTCGGCTTTTATTATGGACACTCGACGCCTCTTTTGCTCCCATCGAGAAGGGATGGACCCTGCTCGTACGGTAGCAACTTGGAACTCGGTCGGTCGGTGGGGATGGTATGGGCCTTTTTCTCCTTCGTTAATGCGACAAGAGCCAAGTAACATGGCGTTGGTCGGGGCGCGAAGGGAAAGTCTTGTTTTTTCCGCTCTTCCCCTGCCGCCAAGTGCATTTCTCGGTTACACAAGTGACGATGGGAAATGCCCGATCCTCCCCGCAGAAAGCAGCCGGACTTTGGCCTGTTGGACTTCTCACCGGCTCGCAGCGGCAATAACGGTGAGAGAATCCCGGTGCGTTGGGTCTTTGTCCTACATTGGGCTCAAAGTGGAAAGTCATTTTGGGAGGGGAGGGCAAGGGGAGGGGGGGCTTGGCTCTGGTATTCGGATTACGTAGGTGGAAAAGATGGGGACAGGTAGGCAGAAAACGGCTCATCAGAGTGGCAAAAACTAATCAAGATGGGTTTGCAACGATACGGACGGCGGCGCCGCGCCGGCGTACGATATCATGTAAGGCCACGAGTCAGGGCGGCTTGTTCCGCTTAGACAAGGTGCTGAGTACCCTAAAAGTACACCACACTTTTCGGCGGGGGAGAGAGGCGAGGGAGGTTACACCGTAAGATGACAGGATGAACTGGCCGGGACGACGGAGGCGGAGGCGGAGGAGACGACTCCATCGTGCGCAATCTTGGCCGGAAACGTGGATAACACTGGCGTGCCAGAACTGCGGACGAAATGACCTTCTGGAAGGAGTCGATGGGGTTCTTTCTGGGGACTTGCTGGTCAAAGTTCGATATAAGCCCTGACTCACTTGGGTGACCTCGAATCGTCACAGGACCCCTTTTTCTCACTTTTGGTCCCTCTTTCGTAGATTGACTTTCCATGGTGGTCGAGTCGTGGTGCGTGGCATCTCATCTCCCGGTCTCGCGAGCTGCTCGGCAAGTCGCTCGTTGGGTAACAGCCGGGTCGTTTACGGAGAGGCTGAGCGGCAGTTAAACAAGTCGTCGGAGCCCAGGGTATGTCTGCGGAAAAAAAGCCCACTTCGATCAGAAAAGAGAAGGTCATCGTTCTTCGGTGACAGGACAAGATATGGGCAAATGGCGTTTGTTGTGGTGGTGGTGCGCCAGCCTCCATCCTCTCGGGGCCAAGACAAAAACGTATGACCAAGCGCAGAGAACCGACGGAGGCTACTGGGAATCTCTGCAAGCCTCGATTCAGCAAGAGGATCCCTCCAGCTGAACTAGTGGAAAACTTGGAGTTGCATGTACGCGGATAAACTAGTTGAACCAAGGAATCAGGCTGCGATGGAGTGAAATTGCAGCGGGGAATATAGACGAGAGAGAATGAGAGAATTCCGGTTGAGCCGCTCTCGTGGAGCGTGACATTCTGGCGCCTGATTTGGCGGCTTCTTAGAACGGCAAATCCAGGCGCCCCTAATTACCAATGGACAAGATGTGTCATGGGGGGTGTTTGGGTGTTTGGACGAGGCTGTCGTTGGAGGAGGAGGGCTCATTCGGCGGTCGCTGGGTTCGATATGCGAGGCGTCTCCACCGTAGATGATGCACGGGAGAGTACGGGAGAAAAGCCCGTCGGTCTCTTGTGAGCGAGTACTTTTGGCATTGAGGAGTGAAAGCGTGACCGGCCGGCCGTGCGAGGCATTGTCACGATGCTGCGGTTGGGTTGGTGACGATGCGATGGGGGAGATAGAATGGGCCGTCGGGACCTTTGTCTGGAGTGGGCTAGGCAGGTACCTGCGTAGTTACCAACTACCTAATCGCACCGTGCGTGGGCCGGCTCTTCGCGCTCAAACTGACGACACAGGACATTGGGCGCGAAGAGCCTCAGCTGATGAATCTTTGTCTTCTTGGTCTGCCCGTTATTACCATTTTTCTTACTTTGCTGCTAATACGAACAAAGTGGCTGGTGGATTGAACAATGACATGCTAGGCCAACACCAAGACCCAGCTACGGCTACAGTTCCCAGTGGCTTTTTATTCCGGGCCCCGACTTGCACGAGCATTTCGTTGTCCAGAGCGAAGAAAAAAAAAACGCCACACCACGAGGGAAACATCACTGACTCCGTCCATCGGATCTTACTATTTTACGGTTGCAGTGCCTGGGGAGAGGGTCTTGCGTCCTGCCCACCCCAGGAGGAGTGTGTGAGATTTCCGTCGGAGATGGGCCAAGTTTAGAAACCGAGGTAATCGTGCCCTCGGAACTTGTCCACTAGGAAGAAGAGGGGGGCGTGTCCTAGACCGGGGGTGGCAGGGCGGCGGTGCAATGCAATGGTAGATTTTTTTGTATCATTTTTTTAGAGCGAGAGAGATGGTCGGATCGGATGGCGCGATGTGCAATGTCGAGGATAAATGGTAGGATGAAGATGAAATGGGACAGGGGGCATTTTGAGCATACTTACGTACCGATACTGACTGGGCAATCCTGAAAAGGGGGGTTCTTCGCGGATCTGAGCTGACTGACTAGTTGGGATGGGGGGCTGGGAAGGGCATTGCGCATCTGTTTACCAAACGAGGGAACTGATGGAAAAAAGAAAGGCGATGGGGAATAAAATAAAAACAACAGCCAACCAGGACTTTTTCCTGCCGGGTCCCGTGCCTCTCCCTCTTGGCCTTGGCCGTCGCCGGGCTTTATTCAGCTGCCTCACAGCCTCCCCGGGCGAACAAAAGGCAGCGAACAAGATGGGCAGGTCTGCAAGAGAAGAGGACGGAGGGGTGGCGGAAAACAGATGCGCACAGATGGGGGCGCGCGCGAAGGGGAAGCACGAGATGCTGGCAAAGTGGCACAGGGAGAAGAGGGATGGCAGGATGGGAGGGCAGAGATCTTGCTGGTGTTGCGTCGCCTTTGCTGCAGGTGGCCTTGTGATGGGTTGCAGAGGGGGGGGAACGGGACAAGAAGAACGGGACAAGAAGAAAAGGGGATAGACAGCATGGAGGTAGGACAGTGCGGCGTAGCTGTGCGAGATCAAGGCCAAAGGAAAAGAAAAGCATCGGCCAACCTTGACACACACAACAAACAATCAAGTCGGTTTTTACGAATACAAGCAATTGCTCAGTAATACCCAGCCAACTGTTACTTCGACTACAATCAATCACTGGGTTCCTAGCCTGCCTGCCGCGCGATTCATCTTAAACCATGCCCCATCTTTTAGTTAGATTTTTGGCTAATTAAATCGCTACCTTTCTCTTTTTAGTTTTTAATATTATTTTTTACGAATACTCTATCTATTTTCCCCTGCCACCCCACAATTCTCTCAGCCACCCCTCCCATGCATCACCTTCCTTCTCTTGCGCGCGCGTTGGCCGCCGAGGCCCTTGCGCACACGCCACCCTCACTCTCACAGCCAACACACACACCACAGCCACCCCCCCTCCATCAATTCCAATCTCCATCAATAACCCTCGTGTCGTGTCCCCCGATTCCTCGTCCTTGCGCACCCTCTTCCCTTCTCCCATCGAGCCCTGCTGCCAAGTCAGATGTATCGACGGCCTAAAAACGCGCCAGATCCTCTCGCTCTTGTTGCACCGACACCCCCCTTCCCCCCTCCACTTGATCCATCCATCCACACATCTCCTCTCTCCCCTTTCACCTTTTAGCGACAGATGCAGTGGGCTCTCTTTCCGACCATCGTCCTTGCCACGCGCATCTGTACGGAGTACTGACTAAGTAAGCGGGCGACTCCAGCGCCTGCCTGCCTGCCTGCCCAGCACACCCAAGACAAAGCCAAAGCCCAGCGGAAGCCATCCACACGCCACTTTGATCCCATCACACACACCTACCTCACCTGTCCGTCCATCTGGTAGGTAGCGGAGCCAGCCTTTTATTAGTACCCTACCCCCCCTCGTCCTCCTCGTCTAACCTGTCGTCTTTGCATAACACATATTAACAAGCCTGCCCCAAACAGCGCTGTCCGCTTCATCTTGATTTCCTCCAACCTCTGTCTACACCTGCACACATCCCACTACCAAAAACAACCCTTCACCTCTTGGTCGACAACCTCATCCTCACAAACATATTCGCAACCAAGCCGACCACCAACCCGCAACCTGCTACACTCCTACAAACAGCAGCAGCTCCTTACCAGACGGCCATGGCAGCTGCCTCTGTGCTCACTCCAAGCTCTCACTACCAACCGCCGTCCTTTGCCGCTTCGACTTACCCTCCCCAGTCGTCGTCCGCAAACTCGCCAACGCCCGCCATGATTTCCTCCTCCGAGCCGCCCCGTCGCGCACCCGACGACAACAGCAGCCCCCCCGAAGCGCCTGCTCGTCAATCACTGCCTTCCATATCCGAAGTTATCTCGGGTACCGGCCGCGGACCTTATCCTCCTCCGCCTGCTCACGGCAGCTTGCCGCCACAGCCCGGCTCGGGTGGCCTACCATCGCCCTTCGCTCCCCCCTCACGCCAGTACAACGACTCAGACAAGCACTCCAGGTCGCCCCAGCCTCTTCACCCGGCCTCTTTCCCTCCGCGGCAGGATGCCATTCCCGCCTTTGCCGACTCCCCCAGACCTCCCTTCAGCGGCCGCCCGGGCCTGCCGCCCGTGACGGATCGCAGGCCGACGCCGCCTGGTAAACCTGACGGCCCTTCTCACCACGATCACCGCTCCATCTCGGGCGGCTACCCGCAACCACCTGCTCCCACCTCACATCCTTATCAGCCTGGTCCCATGCCCCACGGTCAGATGCCGCTGCCCGGGTATCCCATCTCCCCCCGACACGAGCACTACGACGCTCCTCGCCCGCAAACCCACGGCGAACCTGCTCCATATGCACGCAGCCGATATGAAGCTGCACCAAGACACTACGAGAACTGGTCGTACCACGAATCCTTCAGCCGAGTATGTCTGCCTCTTTGTCGCTGCTGCTGTCGACTAGTATCTTCTAGCCTCATCGTCGCTAACCCTTTACACAGATCGCATCCAGCTCCCGCACACTCTTCACCTTTGCCGAGGTTTATATACGAGCAGCTCAAGAGCAGCAGGCTGCTCATGGCTCGTTCGACCGCCTTCCTAACGAACGCGAAGTGAACGAGATGCTAGCAAACGTCGACTATATCAAACGCTCTTTGGAACAGGTCCGCGACATCGTTCAACATACCGAGCGTGCTCGTGAAGGTGCCAAAAACAAGAGTCACTATGACGAAGGCCACGACCCCATGTACAGTGACGGCATGAAGCCGCACTATCCTGTGAATGAGGTCAAGAAGCGCCGTGGTGTAAGTTGACCCGACCAGATACATGGATGAGTCATATAGCTAATCTTTTCAGCAGCGCGCCGCGCCACCTGGGCGTTGTCACAGTTGCAATAGGATCGATACGCCCGAATGGCGGCGAGGTCCCGACGGCGCCCGCACATTGTGCAATGCCTGCGGTCTGCACTACGCCAAACTCGAACGCAAGCGCCAGCTAGAGGCTCGAGCAATGCGGCCGAAGACGGAGGAGCGCAACTAAGATATCCTGCTGGGACTCAGTGGCGCCAGACGTCACACACTTGCTTTTGGCCTTTGCCTATGATCGCTCTGGTCGGCAGGAAGGGACTCGGACGAGCAAAAAAGGCGGGTTCCTACAAATGGCGTTGAGCTGGAGTTTTCTTTTGGAGCACTACGAGGCATGCCTCGACCCGAACCTTGTTCAAGTGTCCAAAGATGCTCCATAGCATGGTGTCATAAAATGGACGGACTCAGTTGACATGTCAACAACCAAAATACCCCCAAAAATCAAAATTCCTTGGCCAAGGAATATGATGAAGAGCAGCGCACAAGATGCGCACATGTTTCTACTATGATACCTTGGAGGAGGGCTTGTGCAAAGGGAGGCGGAAATCTCGGCATTTACTAGCGGCGTTCTGGTTCTTTTCTTCTCTCTTGTTAGCGTTATCACTTTCGATGACTTGTCAGTCTGAAATTTTTTTTCTTTTCAAACTGTCATGTCTGTTCGTGGTTCTCTCTTTTCCTTTTGCTTGAACAGCTTGTTCAACACTTGCAGGTTGTGTCATGGCGACATGACCGGGGCGTTTCTGGATATTTTGGTATTGCTTGCTGTTTTGTCTTTTTTCTTTTACTAGCTATAGACTCATGGTTACAGAACAAGGGGGGCGGCGAGAGAGATTCCGGCAACGTGGTCTTGAGAGAGAAAGAAAGTATATACAAGTTCACTACGAATAAGTTTTATATACGAATTGTGAATTATATCCATCCAGTTGTGCAAATAAACTAGTTTGAAACCCTGTGGCGATCGATGCAGATCTGTGGTATTTTGTGGTGGCAACTGATGTCTAGCTCGATGGAAGAGTTTTAGACCACAATTACGAACGCGCGCTTCATGCCCAAAGTAGCAGAACACCGCGACATGGCAAATGGCCCTGGGTACTGTAATCAGCCATCGTACGATGAGCCGTTGGGGCTGAGAGGGAAGGGGGCGAGGGGGGGGGACGTTGGAGTTGATCTGGAATGCAACGTGTTTGTGTGATGTATGCATGTGTGTGATCAACGGCCGACAACTGAAAGGGGGAGGTCAAAAAGCAATATATAGAAAAGAGAGTTTATCATGTTGCGATGCGATTTGTGACGAGGCCGGAACGGGAGGAGAATCTCGCCAAGGCGTTGTCGGTGCGAGGCTAGCTGAACCCCAAGATTTCTGCGGTGAACCTTGTTCTCGTACGAGATGGCGATTAACTTTGTCAGGCGGGCGATGGGTATTTCGATATTGCGCCCCCTTTTTCTTTCATGCAGTGTTTTTATTTTCGCAGTACTGGGAGACCCAGGGAGGAGGGCAAGTTGGCTGCATCTGCCGATTGAGGAACCCCTCCCTATCTTGTTCAGGTTCCCAAGCTCGCGGTACGTATTTGCGTTAGCGCCGATTCGAGGAAGATCTCGGGGACCCCAGCCCCGGAAAAAAAAAGTGACGACTTGAACCTTCCAACCATGACAAAGCTGTCCTCGTTCCGCGCTTCATTATTAACCTTTCCTGATTACAGTTTACTACAAGTAGCTATGCTTTAATCTCTTCATTAAATCTAGAGAATTCGTTTCCTCTTTTTTTTTCCCTTCTTTCTTTGTCCCTGCCGTCGCACGGCCCCCCAATTAGCAAGTAGACTTTGCCGTTTATTTGCCAACTCTCTTTTTTATTTTCTTTTTCCTGTTTCTGACGAGCGAGCAAGGATGCTGTGAGCACCATCGATCCATCGGGCTAACTGATAACTGTCTTTTTCTCCCGGGGAACTGCACCCTCGACTTCCGGACGCACAGTCATGGGAGCCACAGCTGAACATGGACAGGAATGCTAGGGGGGGGTGATGGCCTACTTTTGTTTTTCTTTTTTGGGCGCTCGTGACTGCTAGGAATGCGGGCTCTTCTTATGACATGTCATGAATCATGTTTAGAAACAAAAAAAAAATGCACAAAAAAAACTCAATCGCGATGACCGCCTTTACAGAGGCCGGCTATGCTTCAATTCAGTTCCTCCCTCCCTCGACCTGCGGCTGGTGGCGCGGAGACCAGACACGGTAAAGTTTTGCCTCTTGGAGTTGGCACTTTGCTTTTCTTTTCTCGGGTCAGCAAATACAAAGGGAAAAACACGCGGGAAAACGGGTAAAATTTATATATAAATTTTGAGATAAACATAATATAAGACGCAGCTAAAAAGAAAAAAGAAAAGAAAAACGCAGAGTACGCATGTATGCACGTAAATCGAGTCAATATCAAAAAATCCCCTCTGCTCATGTCGTACAACTCGACAAGACAACTACGCAGTCAGGTCATAAAAAAAACCGCGGGAAAAGGGGTGGCCTCTCCTTTGTTCTGAGGAGACAAATGGTGTGTTGTCTCCCGAACCCGAGACATGGTTTTGACACCGGTGCACCCTTGAAAATCCCGATCAAGCGGTTACGCCAAGAACCGCGAGTTATTTTTACTTTTTAGCAAACGGCGACCTGCTCCTATTTCGAGAGGCAACAATGTTGGGCGGCCATATATCGTGTAATTTCCGAGGCTGAGATGATGGGTCGGGGGAACAATGCGCCAAACAGGTTTCAGCAACAGACCACAATGAGATTGGCGAGGAGATGAAGGAACAGGGGATTGCCTCGACATCGAAACCCCCCTCCCCCCTAGCCAACGAACGTCGGTCGATGTTCTCTCTGATTCGTTTGGGATTTTTCAGCCCAAGCCCGTTTTTCCAAACGGCTTTTGTTCTGGCATCGCCCGCTCAGCCCCCGATCGCGCCCGCAGGGCCATCACACCAGGGCCGGGACCCCCCAGGTTGCAGGTTTGTGAAAACAAGACCTGTCATTTTGGCCAAAGGCTGGGCGCTTGTAACCAGCATGGGTCGTCCAGGGTCCCAGGCTGTGTGTGTCGCGCAGATGGGCGACGCATGCCATGCAAGAAATCGACTCAGTTTCCTTTCTTCTTCTCACTCTCTCGCTTGCTCGATAGTTTGAGATTGGCACTGTGAGGAAAGGGGCGTCTTCTACCCATACTCTGGGAAGTCCCCGAGGTCTCATAGCCCTCCTCCTGTCAAGCTAGGGGGGCAAAAAGGACCCCTGTACCTAGCTTTGGACCCTGAGAAAGCATAAAATAAAAAATGGACTGAACAAGGCCATTTCTCGTTGACGCAGATGCATCTCGGTGTGTCTTATTGTGTTACGTGTCTTGCCGCTGATATGCTAACAACTCCCTAACCGATACGAAAGGCATGGAAACAGCGTTAGGGATAGAGAACGAGCCTCGCTAAACGCCCCCAGTGCAGTGACATCTTGAGCGCCCGCTAAACAAAGGCCTTGTCGATCTCTGCCCGGGAAGGAATGCAGGCAGCCAGGCAGGTCGGGGGCAAAACAAGAAAAGAGAAGAAGTGAATACGACAGGTGCAAAAGGAGCATGCATTGGCATGTGCAAATCGCACTGCGCGGTTGGCAGTTGCATGGATCTGACAGCGCACAACATGCAGTTGATAATCTAGTAGTATGCAAGTTGTAGCGAATAGATTCCTCGTTCCGGGTGCCCAAGAGAGGGGGTGGGTGTGATACCCTGGCCACAATTCGTTCCTTGCGACTCTGCAATCTATCGCGATGAGCGATGGTCAGCCCCCCAGTTCAGCTGGGCGGCCTGCCAAGTTGTATATTTGCCTTCTTTTTTTAACCTCCGGGCGGCTTGGCGTTGAATTGCCTGCATGCAAGTCATTTGTCATGCTCCAGCAAAATGTCACTTTGAGTTGCCCGTCGATGTGTCTTTGTGTGTTCTTGTCCCGACCCTCGGCCCATCCTCTTCGTTGGCAAAAACCTCCCGTCACACCGTTTGAAGTTGCTCTGCTTCGCGCGCTGTATGTCCCCTTCGGCCATGTCACAAACAAAAACACACACACCCGTTCCCCGCCCTTCTCACCACCACTATCGTCCCTTCTCTTGTCAGCCCGCCGTTGTGTTGTGTGACGGCCCTGTGTCACCCCATCAGAGTCACCAAAGGCTACCTGCAGAAAGGATCTCAGAAATGCTGTTGTCGTCTGTTAGCCTACGAGCTGTCCGGTCGTACAAGTTTGCATTGGGCTTCACCGCTGGCAAGATCCGCCAAGTCGCCCGGCTTGGTGTGTAACTGTGATTTGATGGACGATGGAGGCACCCATGAGGAAATCCGACGGTCATGACACGGCTGCTGTGTAATACTGATGTCTCTGGACCTTCTTTTTTGTTTCTCTTGGGTCGCTGTACCACCATAGACGTGTTCCCCCCGCTACTTTGCTGGTGTCCTCGCAACTTCCTCAATCCCAGGCCTGGTGACCTCTCCATGCTGGTTCTTTGGCGACGAAGAACAATGAAAAATATTTTTGGGCTGCCGGGATTTATGCCCCATGTCGCCTGACAGCTCCAGCGAATGCATGGCCACTGACCTCGACAGGCATCCAACAGAGAGCAGTTGGAGGGGTGTGTGTGTTGTCGTTGGCGAGACACAAGGAAGCGCCCACCACACTCGGCCGCTCGCTGACATCCGCTGCTCGCTATCGGGCTGGAGACGGGTAATCTCCCTCCCCCAGCCCTCGCAAGCCTCTTTGAGGGGGGCGGCCTGAGATGCGCACCGACGTTCCCTCCACCCGTTACAATTATCCTTTGAACGACATGCCAGCGAAGCAGGGCGTCGATACTCCGTACACCGTAAACGAGCGCCGGTGTTGGTCGCACAGGAAGTTGGCCTGAGATTAGCAGCAGGATGGCCCGATACCGTAACCTATTCGGGCTCTGGATGCTGTGACATGTCGCTAGCCGATGCGCCTCGAGGTCCCTGTGATTTGCGACTCTTTTCTTTTTCTGAATGCCGTTTATTATCTTGTTTCGTCACATTTCAGCCACCCACTGCTCAGCGTCTCTCTTACCCTCCTCGCCCCCCTCCTTCCCCCCCTTCTTGTCATCCCTTGTCGTCGTTTGCGCCGCAAAGAGGTGTGAGCGCGATGAACGGGCCGTCGGG